GGACATCTTAATTTCTGTAATAGTTCTCTACTTCTATCTTCGATACCAGTAACAACACCGACAAAGTGAAGAACTATAGTGTTTACAAGAGTGTAAACGACATCTTGTTCTGTAGTCTCGGCTCTAGTATCAGGATCAATCTTAACACGAGTAGAGCCTAGGATTTCATTATTCTATTCTAGAGAGAGGATATTATCCCACCATCCTTTAAGAAGTCCTGTAAATCCGCTAAAAATAAAGCGGGCAACTTGGTGGTCGGTATTCTCATTTTGTTTACATACAGTAGCAAACATGAGCATATGTTGTAAGACTTCAAAGATTTGATATTCTGAAAGACCATCAATATTCCATTCATAAATGGTTCTACTATGGTAAGATTTTTGACTGTATAGAAAATCTTCTTCGTAAAGAAGATCAATGGGACTAGGTCTGGAAAAATAGTACCTGCTTGGTGTAGTATAAGCAGTTCATTAATATTTGTTCCATAATGGACTTTGTTAACTGAAGAGGGTTCATTTTGGAAATTTTCCTGGATTTTAGCTATTTGGTGAGGTTCCAAATTCTGGTAATTTTCTTCTAAATCAGATAGATGATTTTTGGATAACATATTAACTTATGAGGATTCTCCTATGTGAAGATTTTTAATTTTGTTCATAAGGGTTTCCATGAATTCTGTATTATCCTTTTTGGGTTTTAAATTAAAATTTGTTACTGTAGGTGTAGGTTTAAAAGCTATAGGTTGGATATCTGGAGTTTTGGGTTGAAGATGACAGGTGTTCTTGATATGAACAATTGTTTCTTCAATTCTGGTTAACTGTTTACCCATAGTTCGACAGAAAAGGTTAGTATAATTATTTTGCTTCATAACAGGAATAATTTCCTTTACTGTCAAGGTATTATCGCTTCTTGTTGGGGGTTCAACAAAAGCAGTAATAACTAAGGGCTGATTAGTAGAATCACTAGGAAGTAATTCTAACGATTTCGTAAGAGGATGTACTGAGGTAATAACATTACCATCAGTAGTTACCCAATTGTTCTGGATATTTTCTAAAACATTTATTTGAGAATTCTGAATTTTACCATTTTCCATATACCATAATGGAAAAGGTTGAAGTTTCTGAATTTGCTCCAAATGACTATAATACTAAATTTTGATATCATTTAATTGCATTGGAGTATGATTAGCAAAATACCATTCCCTGAATTTTGCATATTTATCCTGGTAAAAATCCTAGTTGAGGATGTTCCTGTTTTCACTTCCTGGACTAAAATCCATTAAACTTCAAAGTTTATGTCATTGGCAGTAGGACTATAAGGTCCCTTACTACTGGATTCCTGTGGTTCATAAATACCATGTGGGATCTTATTGGCTAAAAATTGTAATCCTTGAACTACTGGATCTATAGGATCTATATGGTCGGGATTATTGGATGATCTGGATGGCATTCCTTGGATAACTGATTCTAAAGGCTCAGCTGTAGAATGCCTAGATGATTCTGGAAAATTTACTCGATAAGCTTCTCGAAAAGGAGTAGATCTAACACTAGTGGTTGGTATGCTTCTGGATGGTTGTTGTAACGCCCTCAAATAATAACATTAAACCCATCAGATGAGACATAATAACTTGACCAATATTACAAACCATGAGCAACCCCTATTGCTGTAACCCATGTCCAGAAGATTATGAAATTAGCAAAACACCACTAATCTATGCAACATTAGGAAAAACATATAATAAAATAATCCTGAAATAAGACACAGCTAAGGCTTAAAACTTGTCCATACATGGTTCTAGTTTGTCCCAAGTGAGTTTGGCTTGAAACTAACCAATTTTAAATGTTGCCACTTCTTTAGCTTTTGCTGCCTGTAAATATACATATAGTCTTTGTGTGGTTTGCTTTATTCTGATTACTTGTAAGTAACAAATTAAGATGAAAAAAAAGTTTGGCAAAGTTACGATTTCTTAACTGAATCATATTATCTTCCAACTTGCACTATGATAAATTCCTTGGATGTCCATATTTCAAACACTTGAAGCAACCTTGTCAAACTCATTTGCCACTGATTTTTTTAGCACCTTCCAATAAACTCAAGAACTCCAAATTGGGCCTTAGTTACTAAGAAAAATAATGAGATATACGTTGCATCTATGTCATTACAAAAGAATGAAAAGAATTATTCGGCTTACCAATCAATGAGGTAGAGGCCATGTATATATAATATATTCATGATACAATTTAGAAAATAATATACACAAGATAAGATTTCTATAATCAAAATAATTTCTATCCTAATTTTCAACATAATATTTTGATTTGTATATTCAATACTCCCCCTCAAACTGGCGTGAAGATATTCAATAAACGCAGCTTGTCAATGGAAGACTGGAGCAAAGCCGGTCCCATAGATTTTGTGAACATACCTGCCAATTGCTGAGAAGAAGAGACAAAAGATGGACGCACAATGCCAGTCTGAATCTTTTCTCGAATGAAATATATGTCAACCTCGATATGTTTGGTACGCTCATGAAGTACAAAATCAAAGGATAACATAATGGTAGATTTTTTATCACAAAATAAAAGGGAAGGAACAGTCTCCTCAAAACCCAACTCTATCAGAATAGAGCAAATCCAAAGAATCTCACATGTCTCATGTGCCATAACCCGATACCCAGCTTCTGCAGAAGACCTAAAAACCACTGCTTACTTATTACTTTTCCATGAGATAAGATGATCACCATAGAAAGTACAAAAGCCAGAAGTGGAACGCCGATCAATCCTAGATCCTGCATAGTCTGCATCGGTGAAACAGGAGAGCCCAGATTGAAGGCCAGCGATAAAGAACAATCCCAAGTTAGGAGTGGTTTTTAAATACCTCAAAATATGATGAACCGCGTCAAGGTGCTCTTTAAGAGGTGCATGCATGAACTGACTCACAGCACTAACTGCAAATGTCAAATCAAGTCTAGTGTTGGTCAAATAAATGAGGCATCCAAGAAGACGCTGATACATGCCTAGGTCATCCAGCAACTCACCAGAATATGATGTGAGTTTGACATTAGAATCCATAGGAATAAAAATAAGTTTACACCCTAACATACCAATATCTTGAAGCAAGTCAAGGGTGTACTTTCTTCGAAATAAGGAGATCCCCTTCCTTGAGTGAACCACCTCAATGCCTAGAAAATATTTGAGACATCCCAGATCCTTAATATCAAAAGTTTAGCCCAAGTCCTTCTTTACTTGACCAATGCCGACAAAGTTATCACCTGTGAGAATAATATCATCCACATAAACTAACAAGACTATACACTGACCTGCAGAATTCCGGCGAATGAAACAAGTGTGATCAGAGTGGCACTGGACAAAGCCCATTGATATAATAACAGAACTAAAGCAACTAAACCATACTCGTGGAGACTGTTTCAGACCATACAAAGATTTGCGTAACCAACACACTTTTCCTGAATACTCCCCCTCAGTCTGAAAATCTGGTGAAGGAGCCATATAAATCGTCTCAAGAAGATCTCCATGAAGAAATGCATTCTTGACATCAAGCTAATGAAGAGACTAAGAATGTGATGCTACAAGGGAGATAAGGAGATATACAGAAGTAAACTTGGAAACAGGGACAAAAGTGGCACCAAAATCCTTGCTAGGAATCTGTGTGAAACCTTTGGCCACCAAGCAGGCTTTGTAACGGTTAATTGAGTCATCAACGAGGTACTTTATAGTGAATACCTATTTGCAACCAACTATGCTTTCCCCAAGAGGTTAAGGTATAAGATCCTAAGTGTAATTCTATTCTAAGGCCACCATCTCAGTCTACATAGCCGCTACCTATTTGGGATTCTAAAAGGCCTCAAATACAAAATGAGGAATGGATTCCGACTCAAGCTTGCCAAGAAAAGAACAGTAAGAAGGGGAAACCCAGTCATAGGAAAGATACTAGGAAATAGGATGACAAGTACAACTCAAACAATTTGGAGGATGTCGATCCCAATGTGGGTTACGACGAGGAGGTGAAGGAGAAGCTAAAGGAGAAGAGTTACCTGGCCTAGAGATCGGAGAGGCGGCAGGGAGGGCTGAGTACGTGGGTGACGGGAGTATCCTTGCAATGGAGGAGGAGACGAAGGCAGAGAAGGAGGAAGGGGGGCAGCCTCATTCTCAACCTTGTCCAAAATGGTCACCGAACGAACAATGGAAGTAACAAGAGGAAAAGCCTACAAAGAAGAGTTAGTACCAAATAAAAGAAGATCCTCACAAAACGTAACATCCAAAGTGTGCGAAAATGACGAGATACATAACACCTATACCCTTTGGACATAGAAGAGTATCCTAAGAAGATACAACAAATAGATTTGCCATAACTTTGTGAGAGTGGGACTCCGATTTTGAACAAAATAGGTACACCCAAAGACATGAGGTAATAGTAGAAATAGAGTAGTGGTGGGCATAAGGGTATGAAACGGAGTGAGTCCATGCAACGCATGATTAAGGGTCCTATTAATGAGGTAAATATCAGTAAGAACAGTCATATGCCAATAAGACTTGGAAACACTCATACCTCAAAAAAAGACACCGGACAACAGACATAATATGACGATTTTTGCGTTCAGCAATACCATTTTGTTCAGGGGTCCGAGGACAAGTTGTTGAAGAATACTGGTTTGATTAAGATGGGAATGAAATGCATTAGAAATATATTTCCCACCATTATCAGAACGGACAGTCTTAACAACTGCATGAAACTGAGTTTTAACCATCTGTAAAAATTGGACAAAAATGGGAAAGACGTCAGACTTACGATGAATTAGATAAACCCAAGTGCACCTAGTATGATCATCAATAAAAGTCACATAATATCTATGACTAAAAAAAACAATGACAGGGAAAGGACCCCAGACATCAGAATGTATAAGATCAAAAGCACTAGGAGCACGAGTCATATAAGGGATATAGCTAGTATGGGTATGCTTAGATAACTCACAAACCACACAATGAAACTTAGAATCTTTGCAAGCTTTATTAAATGAGGGAAAAAGTTGACATAAATATTAAAAATTAACATGACCCATACGAGCGTGCCATAATTCTAAAGTTTGAATATTAAAAACACAAGACATGAAAGCAGACAAAACAGAGGTCAGAAAACTAGCTAAGGAAGAAGAGGAAGGCTCATCCGGTAGATCCCCAAAGTAGTGTAGCCCATCACACTCATAGCCCTTGCCAAAAATCCTTTTCAAACTCAAGTCCTGTAAAAGGCAAGAGGAGGGTAAGAAGATGACAGCACAATTAAATTGTTTGGCAATACGACTAACAGATAAGAGATTATATGCAAAATTTGGAACATGTAAAATAGATGACAAAATAATGGTAGAGGATAAAGACACTACACTCTTATGACAAACAGAGGATAACGAACCGTCAGCAAGGCACACAGATTGGGCAATAGTAGTAAGGACTGGCGAAGAAAGAAAGGAAAACTCACCCGTCATATGATCATTAGCCCTATAATCCAGAACCTATGAGGGACTAGCAAACCGAACATGGAAAGCAGTAGAAGTACCTGGTGCAAGGGTGGTAGCAGTGGTAGATGATGGGCCAAGAGAACTGGCAGTAAGAGATCCAAGTTGAGCCTGAAGCTGACTAATCTAAGTCTGTTACTCCTGTAAATTAGGGAGATGAGGAGACTCATGAGTAGGAGTAGCAAAATCCACTAGAGTCGCAATACGAGGGGTGCCAGCACTAAGAGGGCGAGAGGAACGTCGCCTCAACTCAGGATGAAGTTTGAAGCAACGAGCCTTAACATGACCAGAAATGCCACAATGATGACAAGTAACTGGACTAGTAGAACCCCGAGACCCACACTTTACAGCAAGAGTCATCTGATTAGATGAAACTGGAGATACAAGAGAAGGATTCGGCTAAACCAGACGCCTACGATGCTCATCACTATCAATGGTAGCAAAGGCCTCATAGAAAGAGAGCATAGGTAATGTGCTTAAAATCTAAGTTTGAAGGAATTCAAACTCAGAGTTTAAACCCATCAGAAACTGGTAAGTATGCTGGCGAGCAAGGCGTTTGGACACAAGAGAGGCAGCATATGTTGGTGACTCAGTCAAGGGCTCATATTGAGCCAATTCTTCCCAACGGGCTTGAAGGTATCCAAAGAATTTTGACACGGAAAGACCCAAAGCAGATTGAGAAGCACAAGCAATATCCTGATAGAGCTCAAAGATGAGAGCATCATTATGTGCATGAGCATACATCTATGACAAGGCATGCCATAGACCAAGAACTGTGTTGCAATAGAGAAACATGTAATAGATACGATCTTCCATGAAGTTGAACATCCATCCCAAAATAGTGCAGTTATCAATATCCCACTGTGCACGAGTAGGATCTGTTGCAGCTAGCTGGGTAATGGAAAATAAAAGCCAATAAAATTTTTCCTTGCCCCCTAAATAGAGTTTAAGGGAGCGGCTCCAAGCGACAAAATGTTTCCCATTCAACACCACACTCATAATACGATGAACAGGAGTGTGATGATGAGAGAGAAAAATCAAAACTAATTGGAACAGGCTTGGTGAGTATATTAGCAAAGGATGTATCAGTCATGGTGGAAGAAAAGGGGCTGAAAAACACACAAAGATAGCAACACAGTCCAAGAAAAAATAAGAAGCCGGAAAAAACTCAACGGCTTATCTAAATAGATGCTACCGAATAAACCCAGTAGACCAAAAGAATAAAAGGACAGACAAAGGGCTTAATACATCAGTCCAATCACCCCAAGAAAGGGAAAAAAAACAGCCACGTACCACCTAAAGAGGCAGCCAAAGTACCTAAGACCAGAACCAAGTCTGGTTGGTAGCAACCAGAGCCTCGGCAAGGATAAAAAAGGCCTACCAAGGTGAAGACAAGGAAGGAGAGGGTTTGCGAAGACTTGGTTGAGGCTGTCGGAGGGAGAAAAGGAGTTGGAAAGGGCTGTCAGAGGTTAGAGAGAAAAAAAAAGACAGTCGGTGGTGATGGGTGGTTGAGAGAGAGACAGGCCTAGCCTTGAGATTTTCGGGGCCCAAAGCCGATAATCAACTGATAAATTTATGGGGGCCTTCACATTTTTTTTTTCAATGAAAAAAAAAATTGAAGGTAAAAGATAAAAGATTTGTGTCAAAATCACAAAAAAAATACTTAGCATTACATTATAACAACTAATAAGTATCGCTTGATTCTTACTCTTCTTACATTTTTAAAAGCAAATAAATCAATCATTCTTGCATAATCTAGTTTTTTTGCAAAATTATTTTCAATGGATAACAATGCTAATTATTTTAAATGGGCCTTTCAATTTTTTTAATGAGTCAATTTATTTTAAATTAGTTTGGGTCTTCCTTAATTTTTTTTTAAATTTAAAACATACCTAATATATTACACTAAACTATAATACGAGGGGGCCTTTTTTGGGACTATTGTTAATGGATAACCATGCTAATTTTTTTGAATGGGTCTTTTAATTTTTGAATGGGTCAATTTATTTTAAGTTAGTTTGGGCCTTCTTCAATTTTTTTTGAACTTAAAACATACCTAATATATTACACTAAATTATAATAGGAGGGGCTTCTTTTTTGGATCTATTTTGAGGGGCCCTAGGCCATGGCCTAGCGGACCTATGCCCAGGGCCGGCCCTGGAGAGAGACGGCTAGGGAGGCTCTGATACCACAAAGAATGAAAAGAATTATTTGACTTACCAATCAACGAGCTAGAGGCCATGTATATATAATATATTCATGATACAATTTAGGAAACAATATACACAAGGTAAGAATCCTATAATCAAAATAATTCCTATTCTAATTTCCATATTCAAACATAATATTCTGATTTCTATATTCAACAATTACAGTGATAACAATGCGTAACATAAGGCAAAAGCACTCATTATAATGTCTGCATTACCCTCTCTTGACAAGGCCAGGGCAGAACTATAATGGATAACCTATCCTAAAGTCAAAAGCAATGTAGACATTCAGGTAAGAGCCCAGGATAGGGAGATAATGACAGCATGAGTGCTGATCTACTATTGTCTTTTTGGTAAGGTTAAATATACATGGTATGGAAAAAATGGCAGATAAGGAATCAGCCTCCGTGGGTAAAGAGAAAAGAGAACAAAAAGGAGTCTCTTTCTCATAATAATGGCAGGCTGTTATCAGATGTTGAAAAAAAAGCATTACCGGTTCTTAGTATCAAACAAGGTTCAGTAAGGAAAGCTAGAAAGCCAGCAATTAATGTTTTTGACTTGATGAGGGTGTAATGGTAAGCAAAAGGCCCATGATGTCCCCTGAGATGATTCTGATATTAACTGGCGTATATATATTCTTCAAGTTGGGTATGCATCTTAGAGTTAGATTAGATGAATACCAAATCTAAGAACATGGATTTACATTGAAATATCACCAGGACATTTCCTTAGCCTCCAATAAAAAACTTTCTCGTTGAACATTGGTACTTTTTATAATTTCCTTCTGACATATTTTTTATAAAAAATTAAAAAAAAAATTAATGAGAAATATATATGTAACACAGATTCTGGAAATATACCTAGAAAGTATTATATGAAAATTCAAATGAACCAGGTAAGTGCTCTTTTTATTTCTCTGTTGGATACTCTTGTTGGGGAACTGTCTTCTAACACATCTCAGCACATAACCCATACCCATACACAAATTTTTTAACAAAAATTCCCATACTCATGTAGTTTAAGTGTTCATCTAACATAGGTGTCCATAATACAGTATGCTGATCTCATTACAGTCACATTGTCATAATTTGAATGACATAACAAATTAGCAATATATATTCATAGAATCAATTGAGAAGACCATGCTTCATTGTGCACATAAGATAAGATATAGCTACATTAACTATATTAAGTAATGACAGCATATACAGAGATCCAATTATTCTCACCTTAGTCTGAACAGATGGCGATACTGGGAATGAGTTTAAGGATCGTTTTGCATCATCATCAGAAGAACATTCAGCACACATAAAGTGCTCCAATTTCTTTGCTTCTTCAATAGTCATACCCATACAAGAAGGATGAAACCTGCAAAATATTGGTATATATATAAAGAAAAAAATGTCCCCAATTATGGATATTATCATGCACACATGCACATAAGTTAAGAGGCAGAATGCAGATAAATATATTTGAGGCCAAGTACCTAAATAACAACTAATAAATAAGAGCCTCTCTGCAAGCTAGAAAAACAAAACATAGTCATGCAATGTAATGTCTCACACTAAATGAACTCATTTTAACCAATATAATATAAGAAACTCTTCATATTCATGGGAGATAGCACATTCATGTAATCTTCACTCTACATAATCCTTGAACTACTCATGGTAGTCTATGAGATTCTACCCTGTCATTCCAATAAATATTATGCAGGAGATGGAAAGAAAAAGATGTCCAATAGACAAGAGTACACAACATAAATCTGAATCTCCAAAATCCAATATCACTTGAGGAGACCAAGGCATTCACCCCCATCTACATTTTACACTTTCTACAAGGCGAGGCCCTGTTTGGTGCAGCTTAAAAGCTGCTTATTTCAGCTTTCAGCTTAATTTAAGCTATTTTGATGTGTTTGGTTTAGCTTATAGCTTATAGCTTATAGCTTTTTGGAAGTCAGAAATCAGCTTATTCTTTGAGTGGGGCAGGAGATGCTTAATTTATAAGTCAGAAATCAACTTATGTTCATGGTTATAAACTATAAATTGTTTAAACATAAGCTATAAACACTTTTCCACAGCTCTACCAAACAGGGCCTAAGATATTTCTAGATTTCTACCTTCTTAGAGAACATGTTTGAAATACAACACATGTACAAGTAAGTAACACATGTACAAGCAAGAAAGATGCACAGTTGAATTTTAGGAAAGAAGTGTACTACAAATGACAAACCAATTACAGTAGATCTTGACAGAATCACACTTTATACAACACTTAGAATATGCTCCACTGCCCACTATTCAATTAAATGAGCAAGCACTACCATGTGAATTACCAAATCAATAGCAGAAGACTGATTAAAACTTCAACACCCATCATTCTCAAAGTGGCTTCATATGTGATGTAGCTTGAAACTTCATGAAACTTATTTGAGCACATGGTGGGGAAAATAATATATATTTGTTTAAAAATATCATGAAACAGAGATGAAGTGATGGAATCGATAAGGCTCCGTTTGATTAGAAATAAATAAATGATGGAAAGTGAAAATGATAGAGAGTGAGGTAAAAGAAAAGAAAAGGAAAATGAAATATATTTTCTTGTAACATATTTTTACTTTCTTGTATTTTCTTGTGTTTTTTGAAAGAAACTATAAGCTTAGTTACCACGCTATTATGAGTTGTACAAGAAAATTAACTTTCTTGTAACTTCCACTATTTCATACTAAACAAACTCAAATCTATATATATATATATATATATATTTTCATTTCTTTCACTTTTTACCATTTTCATCCTAACCAAAGTGAGCCTGGGGGGATTAGAAAGAAAATATAGAGTGAATATATCAAGGAAGATAAAGAAAATAGAATGGACAAGAGAAAGAAAGAGGATATAAAAATAAGAGATGACAAAAAGGGAAGAGAGAGAGAGAGAGAGAGAGAGCGAGAGAGAGAAATCTCTTTCAAATATTTATTCAAATTCTATTAATCTTCTAAAGATAATTTGGTTTTCACACCAAAAAGCACATATAGGCTTCATATAAAGTATTAAAAGCTCATAGATATCTTCTAAAACAGAGAATACCTAACATAGAAACCTCATATTCGAAGCCAACCTGGCTCGACCCACCAGATACGAACCTCACTCTCGCTCGAGCGACAAACTCCTCGCTCGAGCGAAGGACCAAAAATCTGGGCAGCAACACTAGGCTCCCAAACACAACCAACCTGTAACAAACCTGCCCAACACATCCCAAAACTCAATATACAAAGTAAAAAGGATGCAACGAAGATGATAAACAACTACCAACATCCACGGACACATGTCCGGATCACTGTTCAATAAGGGTAAACCCGGGATCGCTATAGTTGTCTTTGTGGTTTCTGGAAACGAAGATAAATATTACCTCCATCTGTTTGGATAACATCATCCAAACTTTGCTGGACCATGGGTCGTGGTGGAACAACATTTGTAATTTTCCATCTTTCTGGAAAGGTTATTTTCTGCCATTCAAGCATTTGAGCATGCTATGTCTGTCCAGAATACTGATGAGATCATATATCTCCTCCAATTTCAGGATCTTTATCTTTTTCTTCAGAAATATAAATATGTCCAAATCGGACTTGTCCAGATTGCCTTTAAGCCTTTAACCTTATTAGGCCAAAACACCAGTATTCAGTGTACACTCAGAGATGGCAGATGTCTCGATTGGAGAGCATCACTCATGGGAGCTATAGAAACCAGTCTCTCACATGGTTCAGTTTATTTTGATATATATCCTAATTTAAGTATAGCACTTTTAGATGCTAATGTATCTAAAGGTTTAGAACTTAGAGTGTTATCAAATGGATATGAATATCTTCCAGGATCGCCACCTTATGCAGTAATTTCCAAAATTTATCTTAAAGTATTAACCACTTTAAATCTATATGTTCGAAAACAAAGTCCAGCAGGTCATACGGTTTTAATAGTTACTAATCTATTTAGTAGCCAAGTTGCCACGAAATTCTCAATAAATTACTCAGTAAATTCCCTGTAAATTACTTAGTAAATTCTCAGTAAATTAGCCAATAAATTCCAAGTAAATTCTCAGTAAAATACTCAAAATATTGTCAGTAAATTACTCAGTAATTTCCCAGTAAATTGCCAGTAAGTTACTCAGTAAATTCTCAGTAAATTACTGTGTAAATTCTCAATAATTACACATTAAATTGCCAGTAAATTCTCAATAAATTCCCAGTAAATTAGTCTGTAAATTCTCTGTAAATTATACAGTAAATTTCCATTAAATTCTCAGTAAATTACTTTGTAAATTCTTACTAAATTATCAGTAAATTACTCAGTAAATTCCCTGTAATTCCAAGTAAATTCTCTGTAATTTCAAAATAAATTCAAAGTAAATTACTCAGTAAATTCCCTGTAAATTCTCAGTAAATTATTCAGTAAATTCCAAGTAAATTACTCAATAAATTCCTAGAAAATTACTTAGAAAATTCCCTATAAATTCTCTTTAAATTACTCAGTAAATTTTTTGTAAATTCATAGTAAATTACTTAGTAAATTCCTAGTAAATTCTCAAGAAATTCCCAGTAAATTCTCAATAAATTACTCAGTGAATTCCCTGTAAATTCTGAGTAAATTACTTAGTAAATTCCTAGTAAATTCTTAGTAAATTAGCTAGTAAATTCCAAGTAAATTCTTAGTAAAATACTCAAAATATTGTAAGTAAATTACTCAGTCATTTCTCAGTAAATTGCTAGTAAGTTACTCAGTAAATTTTCAGTAAATTACTGTGTAAATTCTCAATAAATTCTCAATAATTACACATTAAATTGCCAGTAAATTCTCAGTAAATTCCCAGTAAATTACTCAGTAAATTAGTCTGTAAATTCTCAATAAATTACACAGTAAATTTCCATTAAATTCTTAGTAAATTATTTTGTAAATTCCTAGTAAATTCTCAGTAAATTTCCTGTAATTCCTAGTAAATTCTCTGTAATTTCAAAATAAATTCAAAGTAAATTACTCATTAAATTCCCTGTAAATTCTGAGTAAATTCTGAGTAAATTATTCAGTAAATTCCAAGTAAATTACTCAGTAAACTCCCAGTAAATTCTCAGAAAATTACTCAGAAAATTCCCTATAAATTCTCTTTAAATTACTCAGTAAAGTTTCCGTAAATTTTCAGTAAATTCGTAGTAAATTATCTAGTAAATTCCCAGTAAATTCTCAATACATTACCCAGTAAATTCCCTGTAAATTATGAGTAAATTACTTAGTAAATTCCTAGTAAATTCTCAGTAAACTAGCCAGTAAATTCCCAGTAAATTCCAAGTAAATTCTCAGTAAAATACTCAAAATATTGTTAGTAAATTACTCAGTAATTTCCCAGTAAATTGCCAGTAAGTTACTCAGTAAATTCTCAGTAAATTACTGTGTAAATTCTCAATAATTACACATTAAATTGCCAGTAAATTCTCAGTAAATTACTCAGTATATCCCTAGTAAATTCTTAGTAAATTGCCAGTAAATTACTTAGTAAATTCTCTGTAAATTACTCATTAAATTCCCAGTAAATTACTCAGTAAATTCCCAATAAATTCTCAGTAAATTTCCAGAAAATTCTCAATAAATTACTCAGTAAATTCCCAATAAATTACTCAGTATATTCCTAGCAAATTCCCAGTAAATTCTTAGTAAATTACTTAGTAAATTCCTAATAAATGCTTAGTAAATTCCATGTAAATTGCTGAATAAATTCTCAGTAAATTCTCCGTAAATTCCCAAAAAATTCGAAGTAAATTACTCAGAAAATTACAAATAAATTTTCAGTAAATTACTGTGTGTTTGGTAACGTTTACGTTTTCCGTTTATATTTACAAAAATTTTATAAACTGGTTTTTGTTTATATTTAGAAAAACATAAACTATAAACGTGTTTGGTAATTGACAAAATGTTTAAAAAAATTTAAAAATATAAAAAAGAGTGAGAAATGGCAAATGGCGGCAAGTGGTGGCGGAAGACGGTGGTGGAAAGTGGTGACGGTGGGTGATGGGTGGGTGGTGGTGGTGCATGGGTGGGTGACGGTGGCGGGTGGTGGGTGGTGGTGGCAGGTGGGTAGCGGATGACAGGTAGTGGTAAGTGGTGGCGGGTTTATTGAGTAATTTGTAAATTATTTACTGGGAATTTACTAAATAATTTACTGAGAATTTACTGGGAATTTACTTAGTAATTCACTAACAATTCACTGTGTAATATACTGGGAATTTACTAAGAATTTACTAGGAATATATTGAATAATTTGCCGAGAATTTATTGAGTGATTTTGTTAATTATTTACTGGGAATTTACTGAATGATTTACTGGGAATTTACTGGGAATTTACTGTGTAATT